AGGTCTTTATTTAAGCCTTCCGCCAGAGAAATAGGCACCATGAGTCTTATCCATTCCTGAACTGTAAGTGACAGCAACAGTTAACGTATGTAGGGATTCAGTCAAGCACATAAGAATTGAGTGATTTGTCTTTCACACACAGGCACACACACACACACACAGGCACACACATTATTTACAGCACTTGCACTTTAGATGTTTTGAATACCAGCTGCACTGTAGAACTTTTATATAATGCTGCCTTAAACTGCAGACATGTCTGTAGTATTAAGACTAGCAGTTATTTATATACGCTCAGGGTATCTCTATTTTAAGTATTGACATTCAAGATGTCTTGAGCCTATGAACTCTATGTAATAACCTTTTCAAAGCCTTAGCCCCTGAAGGTCAGAGGTCAAGGGAGAAGTATGCTGTTGGTCCGGCCAGCCCTGACTCCCTACCCCCCACACTTTCTTCCAAATCTCTGCTGCTGTCTGACAACCTCCTTCCAACCCCCACCCCCTCCCAGCTCATCTGTCATCTCCATTCATCCCTACAGGACAATAACAACGAACCCAAGGAGTCGACATCCAAGGTTTGAACCAACTCTACTATTTGTGCCTTCTCTCACATTGTTTGTGTTCTTTGTTCTGTACAGCTGCTGACTGAGGATAGTAGTGGACTCTGAAGTTAACAGTGAGGCTTTAAGTTGCATTATCTGATATTTTTGGCCACTTGGAGGCAGCAGAACAGGTTGAATACACTATAGCTAATGTATATCAATTTGTAAAGGTAAATGATTGTTTATACTGCAGCACACACAGAACATTCATCTGGAGTGATGTTCCTGACCACCGTTACAAATAAAAGGCCAATACTGAGAGTCCATCCTGCTCTTTTGAGAAAAATATTGCGTTGGATGTAAGACCAAGGTCCTTAACTTTCGTCTGTTGCTTGGTGTTGGGCAGGTGGTCAGGCAGAAAGTTTACATAGTGCAAGTTTTCAGTTTTGTTTGAGATGGTAGCAGTAACTTGAAATATTGACACTTGATTTATTCCATAACAAATTTATTTCACTTGATGACACCAATTCATTGTAGACAAAAAAAATAATTACAGCTAATTGAATTGGAAAAAATACACATGTAGCACAGATGCCAAACACAGTACACATCTCCACTGTGTCATGGTCCATCCCATAATTAGTGTTTTACCTCCTTGGTTTAGTAGAAGACGGTTCCAGCCATGTGTTTTTGTGGAAGTGTTTCTCATCTTATCTCAAGCAGAAGTATGGGTTTAAATAGTGTGAAAACAGAAGAGTTTCAGGTCAGGTCCTGCTTTAGATAATTATATTATCTACGTGTAGGTACCTCCCTCTTATTTTTAACTTGAGCTATGACTTGTAATTTTTACTGTTACACTTATGTTTTGCTGGGAGCGATGTTAGACCTTTGTACCAGCAGGGCCTGATGGGATTTAGTCAAAGCATGTTATGATAATTGTTCAATCCTTTATGTTTGGAGACATGGAATTGTTGTGAGTATTACATTTATTACATTTACGCCTCAAAAGCTTTTTAGAACTGGACATCGCTTTATTTGTCTGGGGTGGATCAACTTCTGACTAGAGTTAGAATGACTGATGCTGGTTACAATACTCCCAGACTGAGCATCAGTAGTGGCCCTATTTTTTTTTTTCCCCAAGTATTTTAAGTGTCATTAATAAATATTTATATTATGGATCTGTTTTAATCAGTATTTTGTATCCGTCTAGATCATCGTGGTGTAACATATTTCAGTCATCCTCACACTTGTTTTGTCACTGATGCAGGCTTTTATTAGTAACACAGTAACTTCAGTATGTAGGGTCAATATAAAGGCACGCCTGAATACATTAAAATATTTTTGTTTTGTTCTGTTCACACATAAATGTCTTTGCAGCACCATGTCAACTACAATTCAGTAGCCCAGTCCAGAGAGAGGGAGACAGAGAAGAAAGACGCAGAGAGCACACAAGGCCGATCCAAAGAGAAGAAGGAAGAAAAGGATCGCAAAGAGAGGAAAAGAGTCAGTATTTGAAAAGACTTGGAATGTACTTTGTGACATTTGTTTCTGGAAAGGCCATCCTCATGAATTCATGTAAAACATTTTTTGTCCTTTACTATATACAGCCACTTCAGAAAGCATTGGTCCCTTTGCTTTTTGTGCATTATTATGGATTGTCCAGTGTAGAGGGGTGGGCAACAGTGGTAGTTGTATCCATTTGAAATTCTACAGCACAATAAAATTGTACAAGAGGTTTGAATACTTTCTGAAAGCAACTGTACTTCTTGTTTTAAAGTTAGCCGGTGTCCATGTTGGATAGATTACTGAAGGGTGGTTGTATTGTCACCATCATTAACATGCTGTATGTCATGATGTTTCTCTTTTAGGACCACACTGTCAATGACCAAGAGACGAGCCAAGAATCCAAACGTAGGAAGGATGAGAATGGAACTAGTAGGTGTCTCGTCGATAGTTGTGAACAGCTGTAGCCATTAGTCCAGCTGTCCAAAGTGCAGTGTGTTTATTAAAAAAAAAACAAAAAAAAAACTCTTCTCTTTCCAGATTCTTCCAAAAACAGCAAGAGTGTGAGTCCGTCTGACTCCCCACTTTCAGCTGAAAAAGAGAAGAGTAAAAGATCTAAATCTTCCAGTAAAGAGAAGGCAGAGTCTGTGAAACCTGAGCGAATGTCCTCTGGAGGCAAAAAGGTCAGTTTACTTTGTCACCCTCGGGCACTGTCACGCTCTCATTTAGAGCGCACAATCTTTTAATTCGTGGATTTTTAGGCATTATCATCCCTCGAGTTCAGATTTTTCTCCCAGTTCAAGTACACATATTTAGACATAAATGAATATTCCTGTTCAGACTGATCTGTTTCAGTTCATGCTAGTTTTTCCTCACATGCTACAGGAGTCCAGACACGATAAAGAGAAATCTGAGAAGAAAGAAAAAAGGGACAGCAGTGGAGGAAAGGATGAGAAAAAGCAATATCCTTAAACATAGCAACACATTAACTGTTGTTATGTTGTGTTGCCCAATGTGAATATTTTAATAAATGTGTGGAGTCTTTCTTAATTGTAGTCTTTATACAGAGAATCACAGGCAGATCTGCTCTGTACATGTGAATAGGCCTCAGCTTGATAGGAAAATATTTTAATTAGTAAGTTAAGTTAGATGCTATGATGCTAACACAGTCTCAATGTGTACTACCTCAAGAAGAATAGTTTTCATTTATGTGGGATGAAAAAAGGTAGTCATTCTGCTGTTCTGTGCTACTAGCCAAAGAGAGAATAGCTCATTGTCATGTTATACTTATTTAAATAACGTGTAAAATGTTGTGCTTTCAATCAGGTGTCAGTTTTTCCCCATGGTTTTGAAAATGATATTGATATTTTTCAAGATATTGTATCAAAGTTGAAAATTCTATAGGAGGGTGACGAATGAACATGCTGTAAGGAGGCTAAAAGAGGATTTTATGGGGCAAAACTGGGAATCAGTTTACAGAGAGAAAGACTTAGATAAAGCATATGAGCAATTTTTAAATATATTCAAGAAAGTATATGACAGGAACTGTCCTCATAAGCAGTATAAAAACAAGAGGAATTACAGTGGGAAACCGTGGATGAGTAAGGGATTACAGAATGCATGTAAAAAGAAGAATGTGTTATATAAGGAATTCATAAAGGACAGATCAAAGAAGGCGGAAGAAAAATATAAGTCATATAAGAACAAATTAATTGAGATTTTGAGGAGATGTAAGAAACTATATTACTCTAAAGTATTAGAGGATAATAAAAATAACATGAGAGGTACTTGGAATATATTAAATAAATTGATTAGAAACAGTTCCAGCAAGAGTAACTACCCTCAATATTTTAGGGATAATGATACACCGGTCAATAGATTGGAGGATGTAGTAGATAAGTTTAATAGGTTTTTGTGAATGTTGGTCCTGGTTTAGCAAGAAGCATTTGTACAGATGATACATCCATCACTATAAATAATAATACAAT